GAGCTAAAAGTTCAGATTTTCACGAAATTATATATTTTCACATGACAATTGTCTCGACAACGCCGTGTCTTTATCAAATGTAATATTTACAAATTACCTGCTACTATATCTACCGAAAAATGACAATAAAACCTCAATGTTGTGAGAATTTAAGTTCATTAAAGGAGAGGTATTTAAATCTAAGCAAATTTCGTTTTTTGTTTCGCAAGTGATGGGAATGTTTTGGTTTTCTCAACAGCACGTTAACTTTCAAATTTTTGAGTATTTTTTTTCTAATTTAACAATCTTCGTATCTTTTATGGTTAAAAATACCTGCACAAACTTGGACACACCGTACAAATAAAATATATAAATATGATTACATAAATTTTTCACTGAACTAACGGGTGAAAAAGTTAGTAATTATAAATTTTATTTTATACGAATATATAATGAAAAGATGGTCTGATCGCAAAGTAATAATACGTAAATAAACACTCCATTCTTCTACTAAATATTTAAACCACATATTCTGTGACCCAAAATAAGGATTTTTAAAGTTCATATAAACTAGAGTCCAAAATGTCTTAGTTTAATTTAGTTAAATTTGAAGACTTGATTGCGATTTTTTGAAAATATTTTCGAAACACGTAAATATTTTTAAATAAAATTTAGTACAGTTACTAATTTTTTTAGGCTCTATTCAATGAACTAAAACTTAGCATTGAATTGTCTTCAGGGGTGGCTAACACAGGGGAGGCGTGGCAAAAATTTGCCGCAAATTTTTTGTTTTTTCGAATTTTCGTAATTTGGACTGCAGAATTTGAAAATCTGAAGTTTTCTTCTTAAATAAGGTATGTCTTACGTCGCTAGAACACACCGTTTTCAAGAAAAATGCCTTTGAAAATTTAATTACAAATTATACAAATAGTCATTGTTTTCCCTGTTTAAAAGACAGCACTGCTAATATGCCCTTCACCAGACCATGTAATTTTCCAATAAAAATCTCCAAACTTCAAGAGCGATAGGCTCTTGATATTTTGGGGGATGCAAATTATGAAGTTACTTTATAAGGTTTAAAATAAATTTTTGAACCGTTGATTTTGGAACGCCAACAATCTCCTCAATTTTTCTACAAGAGTTTGTAGGAGCTCTAAATGTCGCCAAAACATTATTTCACTAATTTCCCGATGCGGTTTATTATACGTTTTTGACCGACGTTTGCGAAGAGATCCAAAGTTAATTAGATTAGTTTTAAGCCAAACCAAAAAAAATATTGGGTTGTCTTCGTTCTGGATACCCACACGGTTGACAATCTTGGTCGACAGCATAAATATTCAATTAAAAAATTAAATGCGGTAATAAAATTGCAGAATTGATGTTCAGTACTTTTTGTAACATTGACAAAGCGTTTTTTTCAGTCTCGGTTAAAGCCAACCTTTTAAAACAATAAATTAGAACGAAAATTGCATTCCAACAAGTAAAATTAAAAACAAAGTGCTATATACATCCGGAAAACCCATAGCGGATGCAATGCAATGACGTAAAATTATACAAAAAATAGGAAGTAAATTCTGAAAAAAACTAGCTGCTGCTTTGGATTGTAGGCAAAAAAGTCTCTGTAGATATATTTTTATTTTTTCTATAGTTTAAAATATTACGGAAATACGAGGTGTGCCGCAAATCGCGAAATTTTCAAATTCACCCTGTAGCTCACAAAAGCAAATTCTGCTAAAAGTTTCACAAAAGAGTAGCACCGTGACGCGATGACTTTCGGACACACTGCACAATTCGGGGGTTCTGTTTTATAGACGAGGCCAGCAGACAGTGGTCCCTGTCTTATGGGACATGCGGTCATGAAATTCTCGCGCTAATGGGATATTTTAAATATGGGATTTTTGTGCATATTTCAACTTTTCCAAGACAAATACATATTTTTAAACTTTAATATAAATAAAAAAACTATTTATTCTTAAAAAGTAAAATTTTATTAACATTAAAAATGCACATTATTTCAATAAAACACCTAAAAGTGAAAACTAAACTGTTGTGGTACAATTAAGCCTAAAGAATCATTATTAAATTGTTCCTGAACTCTCATTATGGCTATGCCCATGGAATTTATAATTTTATAATGAGTCTTTTAATAAAACTGAAAGACTCATTACAGATAATCATTTATGGCTGTTAATTTCAGAAGTAAAATTCACTATAAAAAATATTTTATATCATTAAAAAGAGGGGTACGGGATCGTAATTTTATAATGAGTTGTGTGTTGCTCGATTTAACTGTTACTCTAATTTTAATAAATCAAAAACTTCAGGTAATAAAATGGACTTACTGCATTTAGGTAATTTTTTTAAGCTAGAAATAAAAGGGTCGGAATTTAAAAGCATTCGATGAAGAAAATCTGTGTTTGTAAGAACACGAGGCATTTTTCTTGTATTTTCACGTCTACATAACTTAAGATTTTTATTTGAAGATTCTGTAGCTTCTTCCGAAAGTTCCCCTATCGATAGAAGTGCATTTTCAATAACATTAAATCCATGCACGAGAACTTTTTGCACGGAGGCAGGTAGGTAATACCACGGATAATTTTTTATAAGGTCTTTTGCTGCTTCTAAGGCGTAATTCTGATGTTTTATAGAATCAGAGCCCAAAACCTGCAAAAGAATACAACATCGCTTGATAAGATCTTTATCCAGACCAGTTATTTCAACTGAAACTTCATGACAACATAAAAATCTTCTCGAAGTATTATCATCGTTTGATGTCCCACTTCCTGCACTTCTCGGTAATTAAGCCCAACTTTTCCCTAAAATCTTTTTGAATCCGCGATTTTCTCTCTGCGAGAAGTACCTTTTCATTTTGCAATCTAGCTTGCCACTTTTTAAAGGTGTATAAAATATTCAAAAAACCTAATCCATGAGTGAAGGCGAGATAAACCAAAACGAAAATTTCGTGTGGTGTGGGTGTCGACAGTATTGCTGAAACATACCTCAATATCGTTGATTTCTTTAGGTGTAGCATTGCAAATGTGACACCTACTTGACAATCTTTCCACTAAGGAGCAATATACTTTACTGTCAACCATTATCAATTGTAAAGAATGTTGAACCTTTTCTTCATGATCGCCATATTTAAAGACGGTTGGTTTGAAATTTTTAATATTATCTTCAAAATACACTTCTTCTTGCAAAGAGAGTTTCCTTTGCAAACTGAAATCGCATAATTCTGCAAAATCGAGTTTAGGAATCAGCCCCCTGATTCTTCCACACAATAACATTATCTGAAGTTGCTCATTGACAAACTCGTTGGAGAGGAACATAGGATGTTTGTGACAAATTTCTGCTTGTATTCAGTTCAGTATGCCCTGAAGTACCATCAAACCCCCACTGTCCTATTAACATTAAGTCTCCTTAGACTGGAACAGTTGACAAAACGTCTTTTCAGATATCTCTACACTCATTCATCAGAAGGATCGAATTTTTTCTTTGTCTCCAGAACTTTGTGATAGGAAGGAAAGACATTTGAGGCCATTTTTGAAATAACAAAATCTTTAATTAATGTATATTGATGCCTGGTCAACTTAGTAGGATTTGGACTGATCTTTTAAATATTTAACTGAAGAACTATCTACTTTAGATAACTCCGGCAATCTTCGGCATTTAGGTCGTTCACTACATTCTCCAAACTCTTTCAAAAATCTTTTTGGTTTGCTTGTTGACGGCTCTTGATCGTCGGGGACCTGCCGGATTTCTGCCACTTCATCCAGCAGGCAAGCGGAAGTTCACAAATTTCTGTCATGTAAAGCCATTCCTGGTGCTTAGCTACTAGTTTTGATCTAGAACTAGAAGTTTGCCTCCGATACTCACTGGATTTCCTACAAAGATAGGATACCCGGTTTTGCAAGTTGGTAGTCTCGATCTCTCTATCGGTCAAAGTAGCTGTCAGCTCGGCTAAGATTTCACGGATTTTTTCCGAATTTTCGTCAGCTTTCTTGGCTAACTAAGTATTACAAAGGTCCATCCTCGTGAAGGTGCGTTTGACTATTTGATCAGCAACAAAAGAAAAAAAATAACTCTACGTTTTTTTTTGTGTACATTTTCTTTTATGTATTTTTTTTGGTGTAAAATTGATAAAAAGAAAAGATTGCTAACCAACTGTAATATCGAGGCCCAAAAGTGCAAAAAATAGCATATGTACCAGGTGACAAAAGTTTGTTTAGTCTCTCGGCGAATTGTAGCCCTCGCTAAGCTCGGGTTCCAAATTTTTCGCCTCAGGATACACATTGACATTGTAGTCCTTAGATATATAATGCATAATTTCATCAACGTATATAATTTGCTAGTTATCGAGAGGTAAAGCATTTAAAAGCTACATGTATTAACTTAAAAAAAACTAAAAAAGGCAATGGTGGGCAATTAAAAAAAAAAGAAATATATATTAATCACAATAATTCTAAATATTAAAAATGCATACCTTGAACAGCAATATCCATTATGGCACCACTTGTTTTCAAAGTTTTTAGTGCGAAACTATATAAATCCAGGTAGCAACAGACCGGATTTTCTTTTATAATAATCATAATTAGACGTTTCTGAGGAACTTAACGAGTTTTTAGGGCAAAATCAAATTATGACCTTTTTGAGTACATGACCGCAGCAGTGTAAAACAGCGTCAAAGCATTGATAACAATTGAGGCCCGTCACGTAATTTTACAAAAAAAAAATGAATTAATATATGCTGCTTCGTGCCTCCCCATTTTGTGTGGCGATTAAGCCGACCCAACGAAAATACAACGCGAATTCGATAAAACAACTTTGGTTTTAAAAAATTGAAATTTTATGCGGAGGTTAAATCAATATTGATTTTAAAACGCCCGTGTCAGCGGGTATCCTGGCGGAGCCCGATTTATGCGGATTATAAATCGCGAGTCACTGGTAAATACGATGATGTAAATTTCGAGAAAAACGGAGTCGGGTCTTCGAATCGGAAATTGAAACAACGCATTACTTACCTCTTTGCAATCCCACTTCGGGCTCGTACAAATTGTGACCACGGACAAGTTTTGCGGTCGATTTAACCACACCACGGATATTTCCGTCAGGCTAATCCAAGAGACGGCTGTGAAGTAGTATTCACTGGAAGACAAAAATATCCGTGATAATTAGGATTCTCATGCGCATAACCTGTATGAAATAAACAACCTAGACAGTTAGTGCATTTTGATGAACAGAAAAGTTAATTTAATGATTGATCTTTGCATTCACTGAAAATGGGTACGAGTTTCATGACCCAATTTGGCCATATTTGCGTAAATCAGGATTTTCTTATTTCCGCCTATAGTCTAAAGCAGTGGTTGTCAACCTCTTCAATGTGTTGAGGTACTTTATTAATTTTGGAATAGCGACCTACCCATACGGAAACCACGTAGCGCACGGTAATTAAATAATCCACACTTAATTTATCATTATACGTATTTATTTTACTATTTAACATTAACTCGTAATATATAATACGTAGGTACTAATAATAAACTAATAACAAAATAACTAATATTACTAGTATGGTCTGTTCATAAATATAAGAAAGTGACCAATTACTTTTGAATGGGATTATCCAAGGGTTGTCATTAACATACAATGCAACAAGATTATTATCTAAAGTTTCGGAATTTAAATTCAGGTAAAATTGTGGTAACTGTGTTTAATATTTTTTGGTTGGGTATACTACTTAATTTAAGTTTATTAGTAATCATTCTTATTTCGTGTGTAATACAGCGTGTGTTGAATCGTGTGCAAATTATGCAAAATATGTGTGAGTCTAGTGTATCTCAGGAGATGCTGCCGCCAGAATATAGAAAACACTATTCTATTGAGACTAAGGAAGTTATAAACAATGTTTATTTGACTCTCATTGAACGTGGTGGCAACAAGCAAGCATCTTTAGAAGAAACGGCCATATTAATGAAAATTCCAACATCAATTGTATGGAAAAAGAAACCGAAGTTTTTAACATCCCTCCACAAAGTTGGGCAAATTCTGTTAAACATATAGAAAAAGCAGAACAATCGTATATCCATATTGCAACTAATATAGAACAAATAATAATTAGAACAGGCGATGATAGCGATAGTGATACTGATATATTAAGAGAATAATTTTAATTAATTTAAGTAGGTAATAAAAATAATTTGTAATTTTATTTTAAATTTAAACATAAATACAATCATAAATAAAAAATATTGTTTAGTATCTTTCCTAACAAAACCCCAAATAATTACATTCTATGCAAAGTACGGACCTGTTCGGCCATATTTCATTCTTACAGCTTGGCCGGATCTTTCCCTAATTCCTATCAGTTAGTCAATTTCTTATATCTATGAACAGACTTTACCTATTTGTTCATAGCAACATTCTTACCTACCAAACGAAGATGTTTGAAAAATAAACACAAACTTTTATCCAGCCACAACGGCATGTCATGTAAGATTTAAAAATAGTTAATAATAACAACAAAAAAGTAACGCACCATCATGAACATAAACATTGAGAAATAAAAAAGCACCATGAGAAAGCTGACATTCAGACTCATCGATAATTTATTAAATGTTTGCAGTATAATTTGATACAGCCATTCGAATACAATTATCCAAACGTTCAACTGTAAGTCGATTGCGATATTTGTTCTTAATAAACTTCATATTGGAAAAAGAAGATTAACGCAAATAGGTTGAACTGAATAATGCTTTCACTTTTAAAGCATCATGGCATAGAACTGAATATTTTGTCTTTACTTATAATAGGCTAGATACATTTGGTAGTTGAGACTAACAATTACTTCCATTTCTGTTGCTGCGATGTCTTCGGCAAAGTTCTGCATAACACATGTTGCAAAGTGTTGGATATCAATTTCCATAAAGGGTGAAACGACAATCTGCGCTATCAAAGCCATTTCCTGGAAATCTTTAAAGTGATTTTTGAAGTTTTCCTTCAGGGTAGAAACTATCTCTACATGATATTTGCTCTCATAGAGTTCTAATGGATTTTGAGATATATTTTCTGAAAGAATAGGAAAATGCTTGGCATCGCTGTTAATTAGCTTTTGCTACCAAAACTCCAGCTTTTTGATAAGCTGCAAATTAAGTTCGTTTAATTTCTCTGTAATATTCACGAGAAAACCAAAATCTCCAACCCAGATTGAATTTTCCAGTTCCGGAGTTTGTTCATCGCGTTCATTGAACTATGCCAGATAGGACATCATTGAAGCGTCTCGGCACTCGTCCTCTACTTAACCATCGGACTTCAGAGTGAAGGAGTAGGTCCCCGTATTGACACTGAACTTCATCGGCCAAGGTTTTGAATAATCTTCTTTGTAATGCTTGAGCTCTAATGTTGTTTCATAGCGTTGTTTAGTTTCAGGAAATTTCAGGAAAACTTTCATCTTTACGATATAACGCAACCAGACCCTTATCACCATTTTCCCATTTTCGATATTGGAATTTTCTCGGAAGAAATAATATTTTTTAAATGAGAAAACAACTCCTGTCCAGTAGTGTATCCTATGAGTGGAAAATCACTAAAAACCATCTTGACGTACACTGCCATCTGGGCAGTGTCAACCACATCTATTGATTCATCCAGTTGAACTGCAAAAATAAACACAGTTATGTAAGTCAGTTCTTAACTGTAAAAAAATATCATTTCTCATTACTTCTACACGTCTCATCACTGTATTAGCAGAAAGTTGCACAGATTTTATAGCTGAAACTAAGTTGGCAAATAACGAATCAGCAGCTTCTAAAAACGCCCGTTTTATCATTTCCCCGTCTTCATAAGGTCTCTTTTTTTGAGCAATTATCTGGGACACACGGTACGATGCTCCAGTTGCAGCCTTATTTTTGTCGACTGTTCTTAAAACTATTGATTGTTGTCCAATTAACTGCTTTTTTAACTGTTTCGGTTTTTCCTTTCTGGATCTCAATATTTCCTTTTTTAGCAACGGCGACCGAAATATTACAATAACAAACACACATTTGACACATTTTTTTGTGTAATTTTGAAGCTTCTCTGATTTTTGCAGTATTTTGAAAATTAAAATCGTTGTGAGAGCTACCAGAATTGCCTCCACGAGCTACCAGTAGTTCGCGATCGACAGGTTGGCGACCGCTGGTCTCAACAATAATTAATATTTAACTATAACTTAATGTGTGATTTATATGCCGGGTGGCAACGAAACTACCGTCCACAGCGACATTTCAAAAACATTTTATTCAGTTTATAGTGTTGAATATTGTCAACATTCGTAGCATAAAGTCAATTAAATGTGGTTTCTGGTTCCACCGGAAATAACCTTGACTTGTTTATTTTAATACTATTTGCAAATTCTTCTGGATGGATCGAACTCGATGACGTTTCGCCAATCATCCTGTTAGCTTCTTCAGAGCTGGATGTTTGTTTTGGATAACCGATTGCCATATTGGCAAACGGCAAACACCTGAGGCGCGGTTAAGATTGTTTGGTTGCTTATAGATTCTCTGCAAAAATTTTAATTTTGGTTAGTTAGACAGAAATCCTTCAGCTCCTCGCCCTTCAAACAATATTAAGCAAGTAAGGAGTAGAATACGAGCCAGTTTCAGTTAAGCTCTGAAGAAGTCAAGATTATTGGCGAAACGTCGGCACCCACAACCGACGCACTAGGAATCCAGATGATGTGGAAATAGTATTACAGTAGCTTGTGGAAGTTTTTTGACCAATTATCAAGCCTTTATGGACTTTTTTGTGGCCATATCCCTCATTATCCCCAATTTTCTTAAAATATCCCACGTCAAAAATGTATCTGCTTACAAAATTCCTTGCAAATCTAGTTTTGCTTTACTTCGAGAAAGAATTCATCATACCTGCAAAGAAATAAACCAAATCAATCAAGATTCTCCTACCTCCAAATATTGAAATTGCTTCCATTTTTTCTCCAGGCGAGTTCGATACCCTTTCAAACATAACTCATGACAAAGCTGAGAATCTTCGAAAGTCTAAAGTCAATATTAGTGAAACCAACTACCAAACACTGTATTAAATGTATGAAAAACTGAAAAATCAGTTCTTGCAAGAGGTTCCAACTTCGTCCTTGCCTTGTACTAGAGGAATTCATTTCAAATATCGAGTCAATCCTAAACAAACTGCCATCGCAACATTATAATTCCAAAAGCAAATAAAGGAAATGCTACGGTGGTCATGAACACAAGTGAATATCAGGGAAAAATTCAAGATATTCTTACAGACGGATTGAATAGTCAACTTAAAGAAGATCCTACGTCATCTATGGAATGAAACCTTAAATCTATCAAAATAAATAGGAACTAAAAGTTCAGATTTTCACGAAATTGTATCGTGTCTTTATCAATGTTACATTTGATAAAGACACGGTGTTGTCGAAACAGCTGGAGTATGGTAAAAAATCCGTTCAAGATTTTCGTAGCCATTTCAGTTCAATTCAGTTCAATTAAAAACTAATAGTAATCTCCCATTCTTGGGTCATTCTGTTTACAGAAAATCTATACATACATCACCATCCGGCCTAAAAATATCGGTTATCAACCCTTTTGTTCACAAAGCTGTAAAGCTATCTCAACCCGAGTCATTGAACCTAAACATAAAACACCTTCTGCTCTTCCCTCCAATAATTTCCACATTGGAGCGTTCCCTCACAAAGTACACTTCCAAAGACAATGAGTCCGAAAGCAACACGACACTTATTACTTTCCTGAGATTTAAACCATCGCTAACCACATATCAGTAGTTCTTAATAAATATAATGTTACAACCGGATTTACAACTTGTCCATAAATCCCTCAACAACTTCGATCCCTCAAAGACAACATTTCGTTTGAGATATATTACGACCAAAAATATAGTGCATTTATTGCTTTGGCGTTTTAAGTATTTTACAGTACCTTAAGCGCAGGACCGTGGTAAAACCCATCCCAAAAGGAGTTTATTCTGTATTAAGTCAACAGGAAAGAGAGGAGATGCTGGTACTTTGCGAGTTTTTAAAGAGTAACACGTAGATCTAATTAGGCGTATAATCTAGGATGCTTGTAAAGTGAACTGCATAAAAAAATACTGACAGACATAAACATTAGTTTTGTCAAAGAGTCGTTGTGTACTTTTTTGAAGAAAATGCATTTTCAGTTCCAAACAATTAATAAACATCAAGTCCTAATGGAATTTCAATGAACTGAACTAGATGACGACAGTAGCGATAGTGATGATTTTTTAAGTGACTGATACTTTATTGTTATATTTAATATTTTGTATATTAATAATGATACCATATAGAAATGTAATGAAATAGAACTTAATAAATTGTTACTTTGTACTAATTTTTGTATGTACATGTTTCAAGAATTGGTTAGCGAAAAAGCTTGAAAACACACTTATATACTGCATGTTAGTGTAGGCAGATAACTTCCTAGGACGGTCCTGGAATGGTTACGGGTAAGGGTCGGCTCGGCAGGGTGTTCTATAAGGGGCAACGGTTTTGGAAGGCAAAGTTAATCACGAGGTGGGTTGTAAAAGCACTATATTTTTGGTCGAAGTATACTAGGAGTTTACAGCATACATTGTGGAAAGAGAAGAAAAAATATGAACTAGGCAACTAGAACATTGAAGCGCCTTAAGACTTTGACACAATCGTGACCGCGTAACAGCAACTCAGGTCTTGCACCAATATGGGAATCATGGCCTTCTTTAAGCTCTAAGCTGTAAGCAGTTTCAGTTAAGCTCTGAAGAAGGCACCAGGATGATTGGAGACTCTGGAAGAATCCAGAAGATTTGTAAATAGTATTAATAAGCCATGAATCTGAAACACTACTCGATTAGCATTCACAATTTATATAAATAGGGCTTAATGAAGACTCAATTACTCTTAACAAATATGTATGTAGGAGCAAAACTACTTGTTGGCTCTGGTGGAAGGAGTTGAGGACTTCATCAGGAAACCTTTGAAAGATTTAAGAACAAAACTGTGTAATAATGAGAAAGTCTGTTGAGAGAATTCAACTTGGAACTGGTATAAATGTTGATATCCCTGATTAGTTTTTGTGCGATTGATTAACTACCATTAAGGATTTTAATGATTGTTTGAAAGATGTAGGATAAGATAATTAGCAAGCAATTTAAAGCAATGTTATTCTAGGTCAATGATTTGAAATCTCCTCAAAAAATTAATTCGTAAACTATTTTTCACAGACTGGATGGTGTCCAAAGCAACATAAAAAAGTAACTAAGGATAACATTTATTAAATCGCAAGTATAGCCGAGCAGGTCACCGATATTGCCTACAACGTTTTCCGTTATAACCCGCACACCAAAAGCTATAAATTATACGAATAAACTTACGTGTTGGCGAGAACCGCGGGCGGTATAACCTTCTTCCTTTTTATATTCGACACATCTGCCAAGTCAGCGATCGTGAGAGTTACTGCAGGGTTACGTGTGCCGGGCTTCGGATATCGCAGCGACCGGATATCCGGATAAAGTCGACCGTCACTGATTGAACCGTACCAGGGAAACCTCAACTCTTCTACTAAGGTGTCGTTAAAGGTGGCGAACATTAACAAAAGGCCGTCGCTCGATAGCCACAGCGCCGAATTCGAACCTAGTATTTCTTCTGGAACGCAAAAATACAGGGTGTTTTACACCTACAAATGTGGAAGAGAGAAGTTCTTATAAGAAAATATTTCGTTTTCGTGATACTTGGTGTTCCAATGTTTATCGAAAATTAGTTGACTAATTAGAGTAAGGATTCAAAATTGCTTTTCAGAGCTTTTACAAGAGATTTTACTAAAGCTAGAGCGTTTCGAGAAACTTTAAGAGGAACTTTCAGATATTGAAAACCCCACTCAAGGAAATTATTTTTTTTTGTCATATTTTTAAGATTTAACATCGAGCTTTTAGAGCTTGAACCTTTGGAATACGTTTTAGATCTAGAGCTTTTGGAACCGGAGCTTTTTAAATAAATTTGAACTTCAAAAGCTAGAGCGATAAATAAATTATTAATGATAAAAATATTGAAAAATACATTCCTTTATATTCTGGAGGTCGAAGCAAAATTTTTAGGGTAATTAAACACGGGATTGAAGATTGCTTTGCAGGGCATTTTGAGGAGACTTTATATGTAGAGAAGCTTAGAAAGGAGCTTGATAGCTCCCCTCAAGGAAATGTATTTTTTTAATATATTTTATCTTATTACACATCGAAAGTTTTTAGCGGATCTTTTGCAGCTAGCGTTTTTGTAGGAGTTTTTGCAGCGAGAACCCTAATTGTATTTGGAGCCGGAGCTTTTGGAAGAAATTTTAACTTATAAAGCTAGGGCGATATTACACACGGGATTCAAGATTGCTTTTCAGAGCATTTAGAGGAGACTTTACAGCTAGAGGAGCTTTTAGAGAAGCTTAGACAGACAATGTATTTTTTTTATATATTATATGTTATTATAGGACGAGAGCTTTTAGCATCATATATCTACTAGCCTAGAGGATTCTCGCTGGCTAACATTAGACGAACGTTTTAAGTCGCAGCTTTTAGTCTTAATTAAAAAAGTAATATCTCTCCAACGTTTGACGTACCTTCTTGACAAACTTACGTGGATCAGATATTCATTCGCTTACAACAAACTCCCTCTCCAACTGAGATCAATCACCTCAATAACTTCATTCAAACAAAAACTTAAGCAATACATTTATCATAATAGAGACCGATCATAAAACTAGTAACTATCAAATTGTATATATGTATTTCTTTTTTGAATTCACTCTAGCAGTGCAGCATTTTGAATTAATGTCTATATAATTTATATGCTATATTTTGTTTTATTAATTGTGTCATATACTCGTTTTAGGGGGTTGTATGAGAGCAACTATGTTGGATGCCGCCCCCACAGTTATATATTTTTGTAAGATATCTCCGTCGAAACCGAATAAAGGCCCTTTATTATTATTATTATTATTATTATTATTATTATTATTATTATTATTATTATTATTATTCTTGAGCTTTGACCCTGAGAGGCTGTTTTCACTGGATAGTTCAAAGGGTAAGGGTATGTACCTGTACTCTATTTATCTTATTTATCTTATCTGTTTTTTAACACTTTAAAATGTGCGGACGGTGGAATGTAGCAGATGTTCACCTGTTAGAATGAGAGATGAAAAACAACGCCGAATTTGAAGACGAAGACGAACCACCTCAGCAAATAAAAAACGGATCCATTTGTCTTCGGATGCTAAACAAATTGTTTTGAATGTTTACAATTTTATAAGAATTTCAGAAGGATAAGTAGAAACAGCAATAAAGAAAATGACAGAACGTAATAAATTGTTACTTTATACTAGTTTTTTTGTATACATTTTTGAATAAGTGCTCAGGGAAAAAGATTCAATACACTCATATCCCGCTTGTTAGTATAGGTAGATAAATTCTTAGGACGATCCTGGAATGGTTACGGGTAAGGGGTACGGGTCTGCTCTGCAGGATGTTCTATAAGGGACTGCGGTTGTGGACAGTAGCCAAAGTTAATGACGGGCTCGGTCGTAAAAGCCCTATAATTCTGCTCGAAGTATATCTTATACAGTTTTTCATATTCCCATAATACTCATCCGCATCTAAACGATCGAATCTTAAAAAACCTTTAATAAAGATAAAAAAAAAATATATCACTTAACATTGTTAATTCATTCTGGCTAGCAGTAAAACAAGAAAAAGGAGAAAATGCTACTTCAAGTTCATTAAATTCAGTCAGGCCGCCATTCTTGGCATTGTAATTCTAGTAGTATCTCGCACCCTCGGACTGTTTATATCCAATAAAGCCGAGAGCAATTTATCGTTAACTTTTTCCTCGAGGATTTGCTACAGGTAAATCTTACAACTTCAGCTAATGGATGGACGATTTCGCATTGAGAAATCTTGGTCGATTTCATTACTCCTGTTATAAAGGTTGGTTTGTTATCAACGAGGCGTTTGCCAAATGAAAATGCTGCGAATTAAATAGTAAATATTGAGCCAGACCAATATGCCTTACCCAAATGATGACACAAATGGTAAAGTTAAATTTGAAGTTATTTAATTTTTTGATTAGTAGTACTCTTCTACTGAGAACATTCATTTAAACACAAGATACGCCTTTAACATCTTCTTAGTTGCATATTAATTATCACATATTGTTATTTCTTTGGGTAAAAGATTAAAAATTCACACCACTTCTATTTAGGATTCAACAAGAAGAAAAACCTTTGTTTTTCTATTAGTTTGTTCCCTATAACTCCAAAAATATGAAAAACACCAAATCCCAAAATCTTACTATATAGATGACATGTTTTAATTGTTACTGGTATATACACCCATCATGGGTGGATAGTTTACTTTGCAGCTGCTACTTGTTCTGTAAGCAGTATAACCGTTTTTACTAGGGAACTCCACCGTTCACGGCTTTGTTGTTCTACTTGAACTACTTTCTTAGGTAACTATGTAATTGAAACATGTTTTGTAAGGCAGCAATTTAGTGTGCAATACAAGATTGTAGTTCTAGCTTCTAGTACTACTTTCGTTGCTAGTAAAGAAAAATGTTGTTGATAAGGTAAGTGTGTCTAGATCTTCTTTATTATGGGAGCAGTTGACCTTGTAATTGGAATTTGTTCTGTAAGGAGTGTGTAATATATTATTTTTACTAGCTACTAGACTTCCACTATTCAATACTCTGTTGTTGATTAGGAATGTGTATAGATCTTCTTTATTAGGGAAGCAGTTGGCCTTGCAATTGGAATTTGTTCTGTAAGGCAGCAATTTAGTGTGTAATATATTTTTACTAGCTACTAGACTTCCACTATTCAGTCCTTTGTTGTTGATTAGGTAGATGTTTATAGATCTCCTTTATTAGGGAAGCAGGTAATTGGAATTTGTTCTGCAAGGCAGCGATTTAGTGTGTAATATATCTTTTTTACTAGCTACTAGACTTCCACTATTCAGTCCATTGTTGTTGGTGAGGTAAATGTGCATAGATCTCCTTTATTAGGGAAGCAGACTTGGCCTTGTAATTGGAATTTGTTCTGTAAGGCAGCAATTGAGTGTGTAATATATTTTTATACATGCTACTAGATTTTCACTATTCAGTCCTTTATTGTTGATAAATGTAAATATTTATATGTCTCCTTCTTTAGGTAACCAGCTAACCTTGTGACTGAAGTTTGTTTTGTAAGATAGATGTTCAGTATGGAATATAACTTTTTACGAAGGACTTTCACGACTTACTCCATAGTTGATGCTAGAGTTCTCAATTTATATGTGAACAGCTGACGTCGCAATTGTAACTTATTGTATGAGACATCAAATTAGTATCTAACATAATTCGTTATTTAGATGATCACTTCACTTTGCAGTTATAATTAGTTTTGTGAATCACTACTTCATATATATAATATATTTTTTTTAAATAAGACGTCTTATATATATTTTTATAAATCGGATATGAAAATTTGGAAATCACGCACGTCTGCTTGTGAATAAATTACCAAAAATATTGTAGCATGCCAAATAAATGCGCTCTATGATGACATGAAAGATTACACAATGCCAACGGAGGTCGGAAACGACTACCACCAACAAGCTCGCGATGTTTTTCTAAATCGCGGCAAATAAATTTAACGCTGAACAGTCTTCGCTTCAGCGCGTTTTATGGTCGCGTCACGTGCTTGCGTTAAATAAATCCATAATAATTTTATTGTTTCGTGTCAAACATTTTCGAGTGGATGTTTTCAAATAGAATATCGTAAAATGACACTGTGGACGTTACAAACATTTATTGAGATGTTACCTAGTATTTGATAGAATAAGTTTGTCAATTTCGTATTTCGTTTGAAGCTATTACTAAATTTTATTTTATAACTTTGTGGTCGGTAGTGGCACAGTTAAATATCGGTCATTTTCATGGGTTTTTCAATTATTAATTTACATTTTTCATTAAATATTGCGCAACCTGGTTGTGTAGTCTTTGGTACGGTATTTTTTACTGTGCAAACTTTTTGGGACGTTTTGTTTTTATCTCTATAACACCTTCAGTGTATGTCGTATTACAAATTACTGTTGTTGCTGCTTATAATTTTAATTTGGTACATAGTATCCATACGTGTAAATTTAATGTAATTATTAATTAATAATTAATAATATTAATTAATAATAATAATAAATATATTAATTTATTTTTTATTTTTTTTATGAATTTCTTTTTGAAATTATTCATCCTTTTTACCGAAACCTAATAATTTTTGCAATAGTTTGCTTTTTTTTTTAAATACTAGTTTTCATACTTGTAAAACTGTATTCCGCATTCTGGTTTATTAATTCAACTAATTTAATTTATAGTAAAAAACAATTAATTAAATTAATTAATTATTTTTTTTTATTAATTCGTTTTGAAATTATTCATATTTTTTATCAAAACCTAATAATTTTTCCAATATTTTGGTATTTCAAAAAAATACTAGTTTCATTATATAAATAATAAATATATAAGCAATTTCCATTGCTTATATATTTTTCGTGGTCTTCATCAGCTTTGAATGACCTTTAAAAAAAAGTGTGAAAACTAGTACTTTCTTACAAATATTAAGATATTAGAAAAACTATTAGATTAAGGTATATTTTTGTTATTATTATTAAAAAAGTTGAAGAATTTTAAAGGTATTCAAAATAAAATGTAAAAATAGGGTCTTCCATTTAAAGAAATGCATGTCTTATTTGTCATGATTTTTTAAGGCACCCTGTAAACTTAAAAACTATTTAAATTGTGTATGCCAACAGAGTTCACAACTTTTGTATTTACCATTTTCTCATAACTTTTTAAACCAATGGGATAATGAACTTTACGCCATCGTTGAGTGACCCTGTACATTGTAGTTTTTTTCTGACCTCTTGGTTTATTAAAATAATCTATCTTACTGGTATTTCTTTCTAATTCTTTATAATGTACAGTATGTACATAAATTTTAACTTTGTTTGTAAACAAAATGATACTTTGGTGATCGCGAACTTTGAGAAATGGTTGAAACCACTTTTTTAACATTGAAAATAGACTTCAAACCAATAATTGAACTGAGGTGGCTTTTATTTGATGAAAATCCATTTATCACAATAAATAAGAACTAAAAGTTCAGATTTTCACGAAATTATATATTATGACATGATAATTGTTTCGACAACACCGTGTGTTTATTAAATGTAATATTTACCAACTACCTGCTACTATATATACCTAAAAATGACCATAAAACCTTAATTAATGTTGTGAGAATTTAAGTTCAATAAAGGAGAGGTATTTAAATCTAATTCATCGTTAAGCAATTTTGTTAATCTCCATGGCTTCCAATAAATTTAATTTTCTACTTTTTGTGGCTGTATGTAAAATATCAACATTGTCGTCAAAAATGTGTTTTTCTGTGTTTAAGTGTGTAACATAATTAGGATCTAAACAATTGCTTTTAAACTCTCTTTCATGATCGTTAATGCGTTTCCTGAAGGATTTACCTGTTAGTCCAATATAAATTTTAGGACAAGATCCGCGTACCTGTAGACACCTGATTTTTGAGATTTTGGACATTTCGTTTTATTGTTTTTTAAAAATTTCCTATACCTTAAAGCTTTTTTTAAACCACATTTTGACAAATATTTTAAAACTTGATCACTAGGTTCTCCTATGTATGTAATTATTTTAAATTGTTCGTGTTCTGTATTAAGTTTCGATTAAATAGAGTTTACTGTTGTCTGGATTTGTTTTTTATTTATAATTTTATCTATAATGGACGGATTGTAGCCGTTGTTCAGTGCAATTTGTTTAATGATATTAAGTTCTTTGTTGTAGTTTTCTGTTGAGAGTGGCCATTTTGTATGTATAAGGGTGATTTGAGTTGTTATGTATGACTGTGTCCGTGTGTAAAGGTTTATGATAAATGGAAAAATCTAATTCGTTTTGCGTTTTCGTAATAGTTAAGTCTAAAAAATTAATTTGTGTTTCATTTTTGGTTGGAGGATATCAACTTTCTAATTTTAAATGGAACACCTAGAATATTACTTCATTTTCTAATTCCATACAAGATTCTAGATATATTTTGTGTATAATGTGCTACACCTAAGTCTAACCGTTTTTGAGATTTTTAAATTTTCATGCGGAACGTGACGTTTGCAAGACGTACCAATTTCTTCATTCCTAAGCATTTATGGTTTCACTCGAGTAAGTTTTGTTGTAGACAAAGTACTCAAATAACGGATTTCATAAGAAATTTCGATACATATTAACACGGGCTACGCGAAAAATAAGATTAAAAATAAAATTAAAAAAACTGCCCAAAAAACTATTTTTCAAATGAAAACTATCTAATGTTTATCATATTTAGCATTTAAAATTAAGGAAATTTTATATAAGGTTGTATATGCCTAATATTTTTACTGGTTGTACCTTATTGGTATGTTCTTTTTGTTGGCTTGTAACTTCATTCATTTAATGAATGAATATAATTTATAAACCACGTATATTCAATAAGCGATGCAGCAATGCGGTGTCAAAAAATGCGGGGTTGCCACTTGTTACAACTTTGTAGAGCTGTTCCAAGGTTTGAAGTATTTCCTTTTAAACAGTTAGTGTAAGGCGGCTATGACGGCGTTTGAACGAAACAAGTGCTGCCATTATGATTTACTCTGATCCAAACGTTATGTAAATGTATGTATGCATTATTTATACAGAATAACACCAAGGATACGCGATAACGTTGGTGAATATTTTATTAACGAACGATCAATAAAAAATTAATAGCTTACAATCTATAATAATTATTGTAACAGTTGTTCAATATGTCCTCTACTTTGAGCAATACAAATAGTATAAAAGGTTTCTAAATACACATTAACATTTCTAACAGATTCAGTCCTATTTAAAAAAATTTTTTCGACGTACGATTTCATCGATTTTCGAAAGTAACAAAAAATGAAGAAATTGGCAGATGTTTTACGTGTTGCAGACATATTTTTCGCATGAAAATAAAAAATGTCAAAAACGTAGGACATTATGCCACGAAAAATTAAACTCCCTGTATATACCAAATTAAAATAAATTTTAGGTTTGTAATACCTCAATTAACTTTTGTATTTAACCATTCCCTATAGTTTCTGAGATAAGGTAGTGGCCCAAGATAAACGGCCCAGCCTATACATAAGATTGCATTTAATAAGCGGAAAGTTTAAGAAGTAGTTAGATCTGATTCATTCTATAGAAAAAGGTAGTCCACTCGACAAGGACTAGCCTTGAAAGACATAAGAGGAGGACTCCATAAAATTGATGACAATTTTAAGAAAAATTACGTCTAAGCAATTTCTGCATGTCTTAAGCGACTTCAGTTTTTTAAAACTGTAGGTTATTTTCATACGAAAAGTAGTGTCTGTCCCAATTATATCTAAAATTAAGGTTTCTAAAAAGCTTTTTTTGGACACTCTCTCTCTATTTGCTATAGATTATTCCATTTTTCATCTTAACCACTTATTTATTATGTATCGTTGTTTCTTTCTCTAATGTTGAAAGATTGAAAGTTTTAAATAAAATTAATGATTAAAATTAAACTAGAAGATTCCCGCGTAAAAGCAGCTCACCTTCGTAAAGCCAATCGGGTACCCCGTGTCCTACGACTCCGGGAACGGCCGTATCCGTTATCCTGTAACCCGTATGCGACGTGGGCGTTTTCCTATAGTATATATCGTAGTCCTTCACCATAATTAAACTGTGACTTCGGGGAGTCCATTGAGCAAAGAGCAGAAAGGGATGATCGTCCTCTTCGGGAAGCGGCCGCAAGGGGAAGTCATTTCTGAAACGGGAACATGATACTTTTAACGAACCATTGATCAAAGGTTACGTTATATTCATTATAGAGCGCGATTCTTTCGGCCCTATTGTCCTATTATAGGTTGTAGAGAAATAACGTAGGAAACTTTTGCCAGTTTTAGCAGATCATCCTGAGCAAGATTCCAAATAACTTCTACTAAAGCATATATACAGAGTGTCCTAACATTGTTTTAAAGTAATATAACTCGTATATTATTCGTTAAATTCAAAAGTTATGGACGACACTAAAAGAAACAGTTTGAAATCATTTTCAAATATACAGGATGATTCATAAATATGTGGGAAATCAAACTTATATTTTTTTTAATGTATGTTATGGAATTTTCACCACCCAAATTACGATTATTATGTTCCACGGTTCTTTCAGCTTCTATATTTTTTACTCTGGTTCCGGCAGCTGTAATTTTATTATGACAATTTTACGATTATGAAGTTAGTTCGAATCGTTTATACAGGGTCGGTGAAAATAAAAAATATTAATTTCGTTAGAAAAAAAACTCCTACTCCTTTTCAATTTTATTAAACAATCCCTATAACTAAACTTAAAAACTAAGAACAAAACTGTAAAACAAAAAGAACTGTTTAATTATTGCTTGCTAGCTTTTCATTTAACATAACCTCACAAAAAAAAGTCCATCTTTGTTAGATCCGGAGATCTAGCCGGCCGACCGTCTAATTCGGCCAGCTTTTAAAAAATCACCCGGAATAGAAGTTTTTGACCTCGATCTCGCGGGTCTTTTGGTTTAAGAATTTTTTTTATCGTACATATTGTTTTTTTAAAAATCCTTCCCGAGCATCCAGCTACCCTAATTTCAGATTTCGTTAGGAAACTAAGCTCTATATTTGTACAAAGCCTTATCTGGATAGCTGCAAATTTCGGACACTAAGCGTGTATCGGCCGCCCCATGGCCGATCGCGGCCATTTCTTATAAGCTGTTCGGAAGTTAATTGCATTTTTATGACGCAATGACAGAGAACAGAGGAAGGACCTGCCTTCAAACCTCGGTAAAAATAAAGATTTGTACCAGTAATAGCGATTTCCAATGGTGTTTTTTCAAATATTTCTACATCACAGACGAAAGACACACTTTGCGATCTATGGTACGCCTTGTTTAACAGTTTTTCATTTATGGTCAATAATTTTTCTACAAAAACGGAAATTTTCTGGATCTTTTAGAATTTTTGCCCAAAACGACCTGTATATAATTCAAAGAATGTTCGAAATAGAAGTTATAGTTCTTTAGGAATTTCCAAAAGACTTTTTTAAATATCTCGAGCAGCGTGTGTGACAGAGAAACACGTAAATACAAAAATTGTAGCTTTGGATGCCGCCTACAATACTATCTAAACCTAATAGCTATATTTTTTACTAGTTTTGATTAACGCCAAATAATTTAATCTCGAAAAGAATATTTCTCAGAGATTTTTGTTAATAATTGAAAAAAGTTATAGTACTGGATCTTCCGCGTCTCTGGTTAAATAATTTTAATTAAGTTAATAGCTTTCTAAGAAAATATTTTTTTTCTAGAAGCCAAGAAAACTAAAAAAAATTCTAAAATTTTGAAAACATACTTGTAAGTTTTTATAGCATACGGCTTTACATTTTAGATGTTTCTCTGCTAAAATTGAAAACACCTATTACATTTTTAAATATAGCAGAGAATATTCAGAACACCCTGTACAACATGTGAAAACCTTAAATACAATAGTTTTAGCTATATCTCCACTGACACGTATGGTTATTTTCACATGGGAGACCAATTTTCAGTTTTTGGTGAATATCCGGCACACCCTGTACATTTTTGAAAATTATGAGTAATAGCATAAACGGTTTTAGAAAATTGATTATTTTTTCTTTATTTGCATTTGCAAACGCGATTTTTAATTTAAAAAGAATATGGCCGCCGACATTCTACTTCGGCCATTTTATATATCTTGTGCAGCGCGTGGATTGTTAAAAAAGAGCAAAATTTGAACCGTTTCGCTCAAAACGTTCGGAAATTATAGTCGAAAAAGTCCAGGGACACAGAAACGAAAATGGACAAACAGAAAAAACATCTTTTCTTTCAATAAATTTCAACTATTCTTCGAACGCATCAAGATTTTGCACTACCCATTATCGTCTGCAATCACCAAAGTTCAGAAAGCAATATTTTGATGTTTTCTTTGTTTTTAAGATATAGGAAATAACCTTATCGATTCGAAGTTTTTTGTGAACCATATTCTTTTTAACGCTAGCCGTTATACACTTCGGAACAGATTAACTTTCAGTGTACCGGCTTTCAAAACCAATTATCTTTTTAACTCTCCTCATAGACGTCGCATGAGATTATATAGTAATATTGTCAAAGGTGATATTAGTAGTGACTTACTTATTTAATACTAATTTAAGAACCTGTAAAAAACAAATTCTGAACAAAACTATTACTATTACTATTCACTGAGATGGTTTTTCGCGAATTCATTGGCTTTATTTGCCCCTAGCGTTAATTTTTTTTTTATCTTAGCATTATTTTTGATGTTATTTGTGTATTAAAAATCATTTCGTAGTTCTATGAAACAAATATAAGCAATTCACAATTTTAAGATTGTTAAAACACGCTGTCATCGTTTGTGACGTCAATTCGCTAGTGAGGCTATGACCCAGGCGAACTGTAATATAGCGAAACCATTAGAGAACGACAACGTGTTCGTCTTGATAGTTTTAATTTTTTTTTTAGTTTTGATTGTGTCTCTTGCTTTTGTTACCTTGTGTTTAACATCAAAAAGGAAGTTTTCAAAATGACCTAAGTCGATTTTTTTAAAAGTCAATCTGCTAATTTACCGTTAGTGGATATGTTTATGGAGACATCTTACATACAAAACACCTAAAGTTTTTCTTTTGCTCAGGTTTGCAGTGTTAAAGCGTAGAAAATTTAGCCAATTTAATATTGCAATCAGCTTAAAGTTTCCTAGTTGTTGAAATTCAAATGGTATCAAATAAAAAGTAAATTATTCACCAAAAAAAAAAAAACAACGAAAAGGATTATTTGTAAAACTAACAGAAACCTAAATACTGATTGACAATTTCAAATGTTCTTTATTTTATATAGATCAGGATAGGATTGGCGCAAGTTCCAAGAGTGAAATATGTTTACACGGTTAAGGCTAAAGTGACACCCTTCCTTTTCCATTATTATCATGTAAAGCACACTATTCACAAATACAAACTGTCGTAGATTAACTACAAACGTAAATAATAAAATTCTCGGCTTCTAACCTGAGAATTAGACTCCGCCGTATCGATCAAAAAGCAGCGGTATGACGTCACGATCTTTTCCGCGCGTTTAGTGTCATTTAAAAGGAACACGTTAAAGGAATTATTGATTGAACATTAAATATTCGGTTTTTATTTTTGACATTTAGATTTGCGTTTTTGCTATACATAAACAAATGTGTTAAAGAAATAAAAAAAAGTGTTCCCTTTCCTGTTATTATTTTTATCGATACTAATTCGAATTGCTCTATAATTGGTCTGCCCCAGTCCGTCTGCTTGCTCGTACAAATAAATCAAAATAAATAAATAACTAAATATACATCCAGGTCCTGCATAAAATAGCGTTCAAATTTATTGCCGTCTAAAAAATAAAAAATTCAGGCTTCGCGTATCAAGTCGCGCTTATCTGTCTCAATTTAAAAAAGCTTAAATTGTCACATTAACGTAACGTTTGCGGCGGCTTGGAAAATTCCTGGCGGGGTTTTAATTACCTAAAATTAGGCCGGGATTTTGCTTCATCGAGTCCCGCAATTTTCACATCCATAATGCACCGCGCTAGTTTGTGCGGAAGTGGAAAATTGTAAACGCCGGGTCAACTACAAAATGGCTTCTATATTTCACGAGGGATGTACGAGTCTGCCGGTCTAGGCGCCGCACAGGCTTAGTGTAAAATCACAGACATACGAGCCCTAACAACCCAATGCTCGTATGTATGTATCTTTCAAGTTTGTGTAATAGTTGATAAGAAAATGACGCGTGGTGTTGCAACAAACAAAAAAGGGCGAAAAATTATCATATCTCAGTACTGCAGAGGTAAATCAATGCAAAAAATTTCAAATGACTTGAGTATTGCGAAATCAACAGTCGGGGCTATTATAAAAAAGTATGGAGCTAGTGTTAGCGTTGGTGGTAATAGTTCAGCCGACCCCGTAAAATCACTGAAAGAGATCGTCGTATTCTGGTCAAGATTTGTAAAGCGGAGCGTCCAGGGAATGTTGTAGACAATGGATGCATAAGTCTGGTTTGAGTTTTTATAAGGTAAGTTTAAAATTTTTCCTGTTTCAATATAAAATTTATTAATATTCTATGATCTACTTTTGTTGAAGGCAAAGGAAAAACCATTATTAACGTCCATTCAGAAGAAAAAACGTTTGGATTGGGCAAAATCTAAAATATCCTGGACAACGGAAACGTGGAGTAACGTTATCTTCAGCGACGAATCAAAATTTGATGTGTGTGTACGCGATTTTCGAAAAAGGGTGATTCGTACAAAATCAGAAGCCTTTCACAAAGATTGTCTAAAGCGCACGGTAAAAATTACCCCAAGGTGTTAGGATATGGGGGTGTATGAGTGGTAAAGGGGTTGGCAACTACGAGTTCATTGATGGTACTGTAAATGCAGAAAAATACCAACAAATTTTATCAAGAAGTTTGATTCCAATAGAACGAACTTTCGGAAATGAAAATTTTGTATTTCAACAAGACGGTGCGTCCTGCCACACTGCGAAAACAACAAAACAGTGGTTTGGGGACCATAATATGAAAATTGTATCGTGACCATCAAGTAGCCCCGACTTGAATATTATTGAAAGTTTATAGCATCGGATGAAAAAGACTTTGCGTAATAATCCTCAGCGTACAGTTCCAGCATTAAAGGCAAAAATCACCGAAATTTGGAACACTTTCACCACCGAATATTGCAAGAC